AGTAAGAATGCGCTGACCCTTACTGAGTGTTAGTGATTCATGTAGGCCCTGCCCATAAGCTGAAAACTTAATTTTCATAGCACTCAGATACAAACGGTTTCCTTTCAGAAATGTTCACCCCTTAGCTCTAGTTTACCCTGAAGTCCCTCATGAGGTAAAATCAAAGACACTCTCATCCATGCCAGCTAGAGAAGATAAAAGTCAGACACTTCATTAATATTAGAAACATAGACTAATTAGAGGAAGCTTATACCTCCGCGTCAAGTCCTAATTCCAGCCCCCACATACTGCCTGGCTCTGCCCACAAGCAGCTTCCAGAGAACCAGCCATCACTGCAGAGCAAGGCAGAACTTGCTCAGTCATGAAAGCATGGCTGACTCTTCAGAAAAGCTTTCTTTGCTCAAATACTGCCAGCAAAGCAGCTCATACAGCAACCACTCGAAGGTACTGATGAGCCTGTGCTTTGAACTGAAGTCTACGGCGGCCCCTAGTCACTATCTTGACCGCTACTGTGACGTTAGTGGGTTAAAGTGACTGCTGGCTTAAAATGAAGCACCTAGAGGAGTGGGGCTCAAAGCCCACGGCGTCATACAGTTGAGAGAAACAGGCCTCTCATATCCCAGGGGTTTATTGCCTACAGCCCCAGATAATCATCCAAGATGAGCCTGGGACAGGGGCTGAGGTCAGTGATGCAGACTCTCCAGGAAGCAGAAGCAGGACGATTACAGAAAACTGAGAAACAGTGAGAAAATAGACTTCAGGAGGAAGGGAAATTCCCAACAAGGAAGTCACCAAACTCCTTTGTCTAGGGATTTTTGTTTCTTTGGGGTCTTGGCAGAAAACGGACAAAAGCATCTGAATGTGGACGCTGATCCTGTGTGCCATGTGCACATCTCCCGTGGAAGGATCGCCCCAAGAAGGGAAAAAAGACAGGGTCTGGGGTCTAGAGTCCTCAGGATAGGAACTGAAGGCCTTGAGATAATTGCATACTTTTAAAGGGCCATGAAGTCCAAAGCTGAGAGTAGTAACAGTGGTAACAGTGCCTGCTCAGAAAAGGATGACCATCGATGCCCTCTGCTTTCGGCCTCAGGCAGCACTGGCCTCTGCAGCTGCTGACTGCTTCTACACTGTCATGATATCAAGACTGCCACTAGGGATTTGGAAAGCTTCTATATTCCTGTAAAAGTTGTATATACATTTATTATAGTGTTCCTTCAATACTGAAGAGATAACTGAGCTAGAAAGCTGGCTTTGTTGCTCTAGAAGTTTACCTCCTGGATGTGCTATGGTGCCTTCCTGTAATTGTGACAGCAGACATGCGTACTAAGAGTCAGATGAAGCCACCTGTTAGACTTTAATATTAAAGTAGAAAAAATAATTCACTATTTTAAGTCCAGTTTTCCTAGGACTTGGTGAGTTAAAAGATTTTTTAACATATCTACCTGCTCCGATCTTCCCTGTAAACTCGGTCACTGTGCAGTAAAGTTGAAAACAGGCTTCTAGGATGGACTTTCTTAGAATTTTAACTAAAAGGTTAAACATGAAACAGAAGCAAGAAAGTAGTGGATGTGACCATAAATATTTTTATTAAATGTGAAAATACACGGGCATAAAAATATTGCCCATATTCATAGACATGTATGAGCCCCAGCTGAAATAATTTTAGTTCCTTTTTTCATTAAACACTAAATAGAGATGGATTGTTAAGTCTGTCCCATTTAAAGCAAATAGAAACTTAAGAGTAATAATTTAACTTCTCAAACATCTCTGATTTTGACTTGCCCTGTGCCCTGTATTCCTTTGCACAGGTAAATATTTCGTCCACATACAAGTGCAATAAACCTGTTGTAACTGCACACAAAGCCACGCAGTGGCTAATTTTACTCTTAAATCATTCAGCAAATGAGATCGTCTGTTAAAAAATTATCTGCCCCTCCTAACATCATTTGAAATTACAGAATAAATTCTGCCGCTAACAGAAAAGGAATGACAGGATCTGGAAAGATCAGTTCTTACGTCATCACCTGCGTCCTCCATCCTGCATCACTACAGGGACATCTGATCCATTCAAGGAAACTCTCCTGACGTCACCTGAAAACACCGTCCAGGCCATCGGCACCGGTGCCATCTCGAGGCAGCTGGGCACCCACGATGGCCTGAGCAATGTCTTCCAGCCACCACCTCTCACCTCCTCCTCCTTCATGGCGAGTGACAACTTCTGACCAAGCCAAGGCCTTTACGTGGGAATGCTATCTTCCAGGGGTAAGTAGTGGTGACAGTGACCTTTAGTTACCAATAATCCTCTCGCACTCTTGCGCTGTGTCTAAGTTTGGGACTTGCAAAGCAGTCAAAGTCACCATGAGCGCCTACTACAGCCCACATTCTGAGCTCCAGTCACAAGCCACACGGCCTGCTCACAATTCTTAAACTCACTCATCCTCAGAGCTCCAGTGGTTACGCTGCACAATTAAAACAGACTTCAGCACTGCTCAGGGGATGTTTCAATGACGATGCTACATACCACTCACATTAATTAACCCACTGAGCTTTCTCCCAGGTTCTTCTAGTCAAGGTAGAAAAGAGTAAACTTGCAGAACTGAGAGGTGAAGAAGGTGCCCTTCTGGTAGCAGGCGACTTTTTCCTTCCTGCAGTGGTGAGCACTGGATGCAGCCAACGATGGTGCACTTAGGAAGCTCAGCACGGGGAAGGAAAGGCTCGGAACAGAGCAGAGCACAGCGACAGTGAGCTTGATCCTACCTTCCCCAGAATTACCACAAAGGTTTCCGCAGTTCCTAAAAGAGAAACCGGGATGTGGAAGTGGCCCTGCAAAAAGGAAGAAGCAGAAAGTGGAGAATGTTTCTCCACTAATGTGGCTTTACAGTGTCACCAGGCAGAAGGGACACTGTTCTATTGTTCATCTGATAGGCTGGCCACCAGGAGACTACCAACAGCATGCATGCTGGAACTGACCAGTCACCTACCTCAGTAATCAGCAGAGATCTACCTTCATCTATCTCCCTCCTGACATCTGCTTTTGGCACCCAAGTCTGCAGTGAGAACACTAATCCTCAGTTACTTAGGGTAGTTACAAGTAGGGGAGAAAAAACCTTAAAACCCTCAGGGAAGCAAATTAGGAGGCACCAGATCTGGACCACAGATCCACACAGCCCAACCTCAACCGTGTCAGAATCCTCCAGCTCCGTGCTACTGGCAACTCTGCATCGGCTCTAAGTGGGAGAGTGAGAGCGTGGTGCTTCCTTGGTTCTGCTGGTGCGAAGGGACTTTGGAAAGCAGAGTTGCCTTCACTGTCGTGACGCGTCCACAACAGGAGTCGGACGGAACAGCTGCGTGTTAACCTGAGATGGCTGAGACGTGAAACCATGCCATTCACTCTTCCACACTGGCTGGACTTTATCTGTTTAGTGTTTTGGTGGGGGACCTGGCCTGGAACTCACCATGTAAAGGAGGCCTTCTCCTCGTCTCTAGTGCGGTCAGAGGTGTGTGTTATCACACATGGCCTGATGTGAATTTGGGGACACTGAAGCAAAATGAAAGTGGTTTTGAAATGCATTGTTGAGTTTATTGATAAGAAACAGGCTCCTAAGTACAGGCAAAAAGCACTTAAATGTTTTGCCCAACTCAACTATGTGACTTATGTTTGTCCATTTTAAAAATCTTTTTCTGTATATGCTCAAGGGTATGACTACAGATTAAGAAAATGATTTGTGCTTGGATGCTACCTTCATGCCTCCCACAATTTAACTAAAATGATTAATCTCATAAAAACAATATATTAGACCTTTATACTTAAAATACTTCAGTGTTTCAAAAAAGAAAAACAACTTTCTAGAATAAAGGTAATAATTCTTACCAAAATAATTCTTTTTCATTTTCAATGCAGCATCAGTAGTTCATAAATATTCAATGTTCTTGATTTAGCAACAGGTTTTTAGGGCAAAAATTATCCAGTATACAAATCCTGAATAGTATATTTCTTAAAGAGGTATCTGCTTAAAAAGCAAGAGGATCTCTCAGGAGGAGATGGGCAATGTCATCTTACTGATGTGAGCAAACACAGAGCGAAACAGACTTGCAAGCCTATACTTTCTTCTCAGCGGAATAATAAACATCAGTCCTAGTGAGGCAGATCTACGGAGCAAACACCCAACAAACAATACAGCCAAGACAACTGGGCTAAATGTGAGAGACACTGAGACGCCGTCTTGCTCCCCTGCCAGCTGGGAATGAGCTGCTGAGGCTGACAGAGAAACTGCACTTCTAGGGCACTTCTGCACTCAGCTGCTCAGTATGTCAGCCTGACCCTCAACAGCGCTCTCAAGAACACCACGGAGTCTTTCACAGACTGAACTTTTGAACTTGTTCTGGTTCACATTTAAGAGAGGATCTGTAAGTTTTAACAAATTCAAGAGAGACAAAACAGCAAAAATACATCTTCAGCTTCAAGGCATACTCTACACCTGAGCACCCCACCCACACATGATGGACTGTTTCCCAAACGATGATCTCTGCACTTCCTGCCGGGACAGCCATGACGACATTGGGACAGGAGGAAATCCTTGCAAGTGACTGGAGTGACCAAAACCTAAGCACAATTGTCCCAAAGAACATTGTCTCTTAAGAATACTGAGACACAATCCATTCTCTTGAAGACTACAGCTCCTCCTCATGGTTACTATGCAAGGCTGTTCAGAATCTGGCTGCTCCAGGTTAAATATATATAATGCTGTTTGAACAGCACCACAGGACAAATGCCCCATACCACGTCCCCCAGGCAACACAAGATGAGCACAGGCTGCCTTGTCAGAAACAGGGCTCCTTGCTCCCTACCTCGGCAGGCCCATCAAGTCTACAGTAAGAACAGTCTTTTCCTTGAAACAACTCTTTGGTCATGGACAAACTCAAAGTTTTGTTTCATTTTGTTTCCATTAGAATCCCAAAGTTTTTTTGTTTTGAATGTTAAGAAAATAATAAAGAAGAGGAGCAGTAAAACAGCTGGTTTAATTGAAGTGGAATTTAAATCTGAACGGTCCGCCTGAGCTGAAGGGATTGAACCCTTGCCATGAGTTCCAGCTCCTGTGGAAGGGGTTGCCACCACCTCCTTGTTGACTCTCCGCATCCAGAGGATCTTCTCCATCATCAAACTTCTTTCTCATTTCTACAAAAGAAAGCAGCAAATGAAGACCCACGTGTTAACCCAAGGTATAGCTATGAGGCTTTGATGCTCCCCCTACTTTCCCATTCCATCCTGAAGAAAACCACTGCCAGGGGAACTCCCAGAGCCATTCTCTTTACAAAACAGCACATCAATCCTCATCTCTTACATGAAGTCCATCTCCAAAGCATCTAAGGAGCTACTCTGCCCAACAGGTGAAACAACAGTCCATAAAGCTCATTTTCCTCCCCAAATGTAATGCAGACACATGAAGACCACAATGAGAACCAGGCAAGGATAGGGTGGGAAGCCCCCCTAACACCACCAAATCCCTTAAGACCCCTAACTCTGGCCGAACCGCTATGCTACCCTTGAGGGGCAGTGTAAGCATTCTGCATCCGATAACAGAACAGGTAAACTGTACCTAGAGTTTCCAATAATAAAGTGTACCTGTCCCCCTACAAATTACTTAGGACAAAGGACTATTTAAATTCTGTACTATAAATGGATGCACATAGAAGATTTGCTCGGGGGGCATAACTTGATTTCCTCTTTGTTGAAGCTGCCTAGCTCAAATTAGAACACCCATCTCCACACGTACAAAAAGTCATGAAAAGCAGTGTGTACAAATTCTTAGCCTGTCTCCTTACTTTCCAGACCAGATTCACATATATATCAACCCGTACATCTGTTCATGTGACTTAGGGCAAGATGGCTGCTAACATCCACAAGGCACAACAGGCCTAGCTAGACATCTACTCTCCTCCTCTTTTTGTAAGCTGGCCCAACATCCTTGGCTTCCTCCCCAGGCTCCTGACACATGGGGAATTTGTGCAGAGAACCACCCATCACTGAGCTAAGAAACTAGCAGGGTCTAGGTGTGTTGTGCTTTCCCAGGACTGCTAGAGAAAAACAAGGGGGTGGGGAGAACACAGCCCACATCCACCAGTGGAGCCGCAGGGCTGACAGCCAACCACAGCCCTCCCGCTCACCCGCCTTGTTCTACAGTTCACCTCTGCCCTTGGAGCGGGAAAGGAACAGGAACCATTCATCCCAACGGCACTATTCCAAGAGCAGTAGACGCTGCAGCACAAGGTACCTGGGTCTGAGAGGACTTCTTTAGCAGCTGCTATGTCAATGAACTTTTTCTCTGCCTTTTTCTTTTCCTCTTCATTCTGGAAATTATCCGGATGCCACTGAAGTGCTAGTTTTCGGTAGGCTTTAATGATTTCTTGTTTTTTGGCATTTCTGAAGGATGAAGAAAATTATTTAGCAATTATCAGAAAGGTCCCAACCTACTTTTATTCAAAGAAAACCTCAGAAGAGCTGTGTTGGTAGTCCCCTTGAGCACTCAATCACAGCACTGCAAACACACACTGCAAGCTCTTTGAGTAAGGGATATAGGGAGTGTCACCTGATGATATACAACTCTGTTCTCCTCAAAATTTCAAACATACTGTTCTCGACAGTCAATTTTGCCTTTCTTTCCTTTTTGAGCCCAGGGGGTGGTGGGGACAAACACTGAGAACTGAACCTATTGTGCACACAGCAAACCCACCAACACTGAGCCACAACCTTAGAATATAGTACAGATCTTTACAGATGTCCCTTCTAGATTTCCACAACACCATAGCTTAATTCTTTCTGGGCATAAGAAGATACTCTCACATCAAGATGGTGGTGTACACACCTTCAATCCCAGCAGTACTCTAGAGGCAGAGGCAGAGAGATCTCTGTGGGTATAAGGGCTAGGTCTACATAGTGTCTTCAGGCTAGCCAGGGCTACGCAGCAAGATTCTGCCAATCAAAGCACGCACATGCACACACACACACCTCTGTCAACCCCTTTAGGCCGAGTTTACTTAATATGAGTAAGACCAAAGCTTAAACTTTGGAACAAAAGATGACAGTCTGAAAAATGAATCTTTTTTCGACAAAACTTTTAGGATTTAATGTTATTTTACATGTACGGGTGTCTGCCTGCATGTATGACCATCATGTGTGTAATGACAGAAAGCCAGAAGAAGTCAGACTGGAGTTAGAGACAACTGTGAGCCATCAAGTGCATGCTGAGAGCTGAACCTGGGTCTCTGCTAGAACAAGTGCTCTTCAGCACTGAGCATCTTCCCAGCATGGAGAACGCTCTTATAACACTACAACTTTAACTTTAGGCCCACGGGAGGGCTTTCTTTTCCTTCCTCCTAGCCCAATGAAAATGAATTCAACTCTGCTTTCTCAATCCTTCCAAAAAGTCTAGGCCTAGGACCTATTTCCACCACAGCCTTCCACCATCAACATCTATTAGTGTGTTTGCCTGTAATATACTGAAAACAGTTTATGATGTCAAAGGTTGCTAGAATAATATATAAATGAAACACCATGAGAAAGGGAAGAGAGCCAGGGTAGGACAAAAGGAGCTACAATTAGCTGTAAAGCAGTTGGTTAAATAATACAAACTTCAACAGTTCACCTTTTTACTCCCAAGATTTTGTAATAATCACGCTTCTGTGACTGTTTCAGTAACCGCTGAGCTTTCTCCAAACCTTCCCGGATTTGCTGATCATTTTCGTTGTGTTCCTGAGCAGCTTCATAGTCCTGAATGGCTGTCAAAATATGTTTAGGAAAAGCTGTTAGGGAAATGGCGATTCTACCAGCTTGGTGCTCAGTCCTCATTGCCAGACCCTTCACTCACTGCTGCTTCCAAGAGCCTAAATGGTCCCTTTTTCATAATTTTGTTCAAACTAATTCATAACTGAGGCTCAAGTTCTCACTCCCATTTAGCAGAACTCACTGTGGCTGGCTTAATTACCCACCCTCTCATATTATCTCCCCACACCTACAACGCAATCTTGAAGCCACAAAGAAAACAGAACGCTGGGAAAGAGCACCAACTTCTATGTTTGACAGTTAGGAAGACCCATCACTCAGTGCCGCACTGTGATGAAGCGATCCATCAAAACCAAATACACAGAGCCCTAATCTACAACACAGGCTCTATTACAGAACATCTGGGTCAAGATCAGTGTGGGGTTCATCCTTTCAAAGTCCTCGAGATGAAAATTATTCACGGCTGGGTTTCAGGAACATTCCTTGGTAAGAGGCTTACGAGGGCCTTCAGGACAGCCCTGGGCACTGGGGCTCTGATGAGACTCAGCTGTAGAATAAACTTGACTTGTGTCAATTTATAGGAAAAAGGATTCATATTCTTAAAAGTATCCTGCAGTATAGTCTACCAATCTGGAGTGAGTCCAGTTGTCAGGTGTGGCAGCTGGCACCTTTACCCACTCACTGAGCCATCTCACCGTCCCCAAATGGCAAGTCTTTTAGATCATACTAAGCATTATAGTATGAATGCTTTTCTTCCTATAAGAAGTGTAGAATTATTGTTTCCTATATTCATATAACTTACAAGAAGTAACTGATTTCCCACAAACATATAGTAGCTAAGTAATTTTTGTTAAGTTTCCTCAGATTTCACACTCAGAGGTAATCACGTAAAAAAAGTAAACAAGTCTACCTCACAGCCATAAATCAACAGTCAGGAAACTAAAAGACAGAAATAATATGGTTCTAAATGTACTATTAGCAATTAATTTTCTAACCTCAATCTAAACAAAACCTCATCCAAACCACATTTTTTTTCTGGTGTGTATGAATGTGGCGGGTGGGGCTGAACCCGGAGGCTGCATGCTAGACGCTGCTCTAACCACTGAGCTGCGATCCCTCTCCACCCTCTCACATTCTTAAGGAGCAGTGCTAACAACTGGTCAAGACGAGACATAATCCAGTCTCTTTACGCTCTTCCCAGCACAATGACAAAAATTAAAAAATGAACATCATAGAATTGTAAAGATAAAAATTTTTGACACATTTCTAGGGAAAAAAAAATAAGTAGGTTCTTAACAAAAAAAAAATAACAAAGAGGGGATGGAGGATGGAAACATGAGGGCTCGAGATGGCCGAGTTGGGGGAGGGACAACGAGGGGGAGCAGTGAAAGGGGTATTTGACAGAAGGAGCCATTATGGGGTTAAGGAGAAACCAGGTGCTAGGGAAATTCTCAGCAATCCACAAGCTAAGAGGGTTCCTGAACTGGCCCTTCCCTGTAATAGTTGTCTTAGCCAACACTGGACTCCACATGCTACAATACTGATCAGCCAGGCAAATGTGCTCACCAGTACAATAGTGGTATGAATATTACAGAGGATAACAATCACTCTCTGATGGGTCCACGGGAGTGAATTCATGCCTGGGACTATAAACCTGGTCAAAAGCCCACAGCTAGGGAAGTTGTAGACGCTAGCAAAGAATGCCAAGGTGATCCATAAAGGAACATATGGTCTCCTCCTAGATAGCATACAAAAGATTGCTTTGCTAAATGGATATGTTGTTTAACTGTCTTCTGAAATTGTTTATATTTGTAAATTAATGATGCTGCTAACCTTGGTCAGAGATGCTTCTAAAAGATTCTTAACTAATTAAAATTGAAAAGGAATGACAGCCTTGAGTTGCACGTTTACCACCAGCCATGGCCAAGGCCTGCAGATGTAAGATATAGAGGAAGGAATGCAGGAGCCAGCGGCTGGGGAGGAGTGCTATACACGCTGTCCGCTGCATGGTGACCTGCACACAATCAGCCAGTCAACACTGCAACATGGATGAGGGCAAGGCTCGCAAGCCCTCCCCTCCCCCTAGCTGAGGAGCACCCGACAGTTAATGGCTTGGGGAGGAGAATCCTTTGTTTTCAGGTCTGTGGCCACACACCCACCCATACATATCCACATGCTCATACAAGTAACCTTAATGTGCCACTAAAAAATAAAAATTAAAATGATATGAAATGAGGGGTATGTTTTGGAAAGAAAGGTTCTAGATAGAGTAGCGGGTAAGAGAGGAGAACTGAGGGATGATTCTAGCTAAAACCCATGTGAAGTCATCAAATAAATTAAAAAATTAGCAAGAAATCCCTGTTTAAATGTTCATAAAGTCCTACCAAATATGTGATAAACAAAACCATGCATGTAATGGATTCCGTCTTTCAATAAACACGACTGTGTGCGCCAGCACGGCCTTTCCAAGGTCCTCACATCATCTGTCAGCAAGCTCTCAGTGCGGCCTCAAGTAAGGTAAGCAGCTATTCTAATGTCTGAAGTTGGGGCCACAGGATCATGTTAGACATATGTATTGTGCATACTGTGTATTTATATGCTTAAGAGAGTCATTTGTACAGACATGTCTGGAAAAATAACTGAACAATGATTACCTCTGGATGACAGGAAACCATGGTTCTCAATTCTGCTGTTTGTCTCTCCTAACTGAACTGACTACTGAAACAGTAAAACTGGTTTATGAACTCTTTGCTCAGATGCTATACCTATTATGGTCCAGTAAGAAAGATAATTATCAGTTTTTCAAATTCTTAGCCATTTGCAGATAACTGTGTTCAAAATACATTGCAACTGACGTGTTGATTTCATACAATTTAACCTCTAGATACTGCAAGTCAAGTTCCTTTAAGACTTACCTTCGTCATACATTTCTTCTATTAAATAAGCCTCTGCTCGGTCTTTCAGAGCGTTGACATTGTCAGGTTCCATCTGTAAAACTTCAGAGCATATTCTAATGGCTTCCACAGGCTTCTCATCCTAAAAGTCAACGTAAGAAAAGATGGGCTGGGTGCACTCAGTGAAGCGTGTGCCTATCATGCACAGGCTCCTGAGCTCAATCCTCAGTATCAAAGAATCAATAAAAATAAACACTGTGGCCAGAGAGAGGGCTCAGTGAGTGTGTGCACACAGTGAATGGGCTCAGTGAGTGTGTGCACAAATGAATGGGCTCAGTGAGCGTAAGCACACAGTGAATGGGCTCAGTGAGCGTGAGCACACAGTGAATGGGCTCAGTGAGCGTGAGCACACAGTGAATGGGCTCAGTGAGCGTGTGCACACAGTGAATGGGCTCAGTGAGCGTGTGCACACAGTGAATGGGCTCAGTGAGCGTGAGCACACAGTGAATGGGCTCAGTGAGCGTGACCACACAGTGAATGGGCTCAGTGAGCGTGAGCACACAGTGAATGGGCTCAGTGAGCGTGAGCACACAGTGAATGGGCTCAGTGAGCGTGAGCACACAGTGAATGGGCTCAGTGAGCGTGAGCACACAGTGAATGGGCTCAGTGAGCGTGTGCACACAGTGAATGGGCTCAGTGAGCGTGAGCACACAGTGAATGGGCTCAGTGAGCGTGAGCACACAGTGAATGGGCTCAGTGAGCGTGAGCACACAGTGAATGGGCTCAGTGAGCGTGAGCACACAGTGAATGGGCTCAGTGAGCGTGAGCACACAGTGAATGGGCTCAGTGAGCATGAGCAAACAGTGAATGGGCTCAGTGAGCGTGAGCACACAGCTCAGTGAGCGTGAGCACACAGTGAATGGGCTCAGTGAGCGTGAGCAAACAGTGAATGGGCTCAGTGAGCGTGTGCACACAGTGAATGGGCTCAGTGAGCGAGAGCACACAGTGAATGGGCTCAGCATGAGCACACATGAATGGGCTCAGTGAGCATGAGCACACAGTGAATGGGCTCAGTGAGCGTGAGCAAACAGTGAATGGGCTCAGTGAGTGTGTCCACAAATGAATGGGCTCAGTGAGCGTGAGCACACAGTGATGGGCTCAGTGAGCGTGAGCAAACAGTGAATGGGCTCAGTGAGTGTGTCCACAAATGAATGGGCTCAGTGAGCGTGAGCACACAGTGAATGGGCTCAGTGAGCGTGAGCAAACAGTGAATGGGCTCAGTGAGCGTGTCCACAAATGAATGGGCTCAGTGAGTGTGTCCACAAATGAATGGGCTCAGTGAGCGTGAGCAAACAGTGAATGGGCTCAGTGAGCGTGAGCACACAGTGAATGGGCTCAGTGAGCGTGAGCACACAGTGAATGGGCTCAGTGAGCGTGTGCACACAGTGAATGGGCTCAGTGAGCGTGAGCACACAGTGAATGGGCTCAGTGAGTGTGTGCACACAGTGAATGGGCTCAGTGAGCGTGAGCACACCATGAATGAATAAAAAAGAATTTTGAGGAAGTTAAAATTGGCTGTTATCCATGTGAAGTGTTCACACGTCCTGGAACGAGTCAACTGTTACCTTAGAGAAGCAGTGGCAGATCCTTTCTTTGGAGCGGATTGTATACTCAGCAACACTGGGCTCTGTCTTCATGACAGATTCGTATTTGCTGGTTGCATCTGTGTATCTATGAAATAAGCAACCCGGGAGTAACAATGAAACCGTTTCCAAAGCTGGAGGATCAACCCCTCCTTTCAGGGTGTACTGCATAGTAATCCAGCCGAACTAGCACAAACTCCTGCCCTCAAATACAATGCCTCTAACCTGAGTCCAAGGCCGCCCCTGAAGCCCAGAGATAGGCAAGGGTGCTTGTCAACAGGACTGACTCACATGGTGGAGAGAGCCCATACACTCATTATTCTCCAGGACATGCGCTTGCCTGCACGCACAAATAAATAAAACTATTTAAAGCATGTGGTGGGGCAGGCATGGGGTGGAGAGTTGAAATTAAATGGAGGGACTGCACAGCTTCGAGGAACTCAGCATCCATCCCGAAGTGACACCAGGGACGAAGCTGCTTGAAGGTCACTCATGCACCTCTAAGTCCAGTAAGCGTGGCAGCTCATCTCACTAACTCGAGTGTTCTGTCACCGGCAAATGCCTCTTCATGTCTCCCCAGAAAAATTCACAAAAGAGGGGTGTGTGTGTGTGTGTGTGTGTGTGTGTGTGTGTGCGTGTGTGTTGGGGGCAAAGGGAACAGCACTGGAGAGCAAAGTCAGTGTCTTGCACGTCAATCACTCTGAGCTGTAGCTCCATCCCTAAGGATTTACACACAAGTGGCATTATTCATTGGGTGAGCGTCAATGGGTGGTGGCTGGATAAATAGTGTGGAGAGTAATACCATGGAAATATTAACCAATAAATAGGAAAGATTGAAACAACAAGCTGGATAAAACCCAGAGAACTCTGCTAAAGGGGAAAAGGCTAATCTCAAAAGTTTCCATTTTGTGTTTGCATTTCTTCAATACTCTTGAAATGACAACACCATAGAAACAAAGAATATATTCGTGGTTGTTGGGATCTAGGGAAGGCTACGGACAGAAAGGCAGTGTGGTGTAAGGGACAGCACAGGAGGCTCGTGTCATGAGAGCTACAAGGAGTAGGGAACACAGAGTCTATCTCACAGTAAGCAGTACTGTCTGGAGACACTTCAACTCTCCTGCCCCAGCCTACCAAACCTCTACACCCCAATATCCACACAGACAACTCTGTTTTAAGATGAGAATGTAAATACCTACCACCTCCCCAAGAGCTCCCCTTTTGCTCCTGGCCTTCGCTGCTATAGACTGGATTAAGGGCTCCTCTTTGCTCTGTCCACTCTGAAGCTCTGCTAACACCTCTATACCCCAGCACTTCATATCGACTGTGGTGATATTTGATCATGATCTAACAAAGCTTGCCTGAAGATCAGAGAAGCAATGCTCTGACCAAAGGGGTTCCCATCCTCAGACTGCACTGAGCTCCTGTCTCCTCCCACCTGATATTCCTCTGTACTCAGCCATATTACTCCTGTCTCCACCTTCCCTACTGCTGAGATTACAGGCGTGGGATCCCAAATGCTGAAATCACCTCTGTGTGAGCTCTGTTTCTCTTTTAGACTGGATCAATTTTGTGTAGCCAAGGTGGCCTTGAACTAACAGGGATCTGTCTGCCTTTGTCTCTTTAGTGTTGGGAGTAAGGGTGTGTGCTACCACTGCCTGGCCTTTAGTGGCTTAGCTCTGCACTTCAATCTTCAGACAAGCTTTAGTTTTTTTGTTTAATTTGTATTTTATTTCCTTTTTTATATCACCACAATTGACCTCCCACATTAAGCTATAAACCGGTTTATACTACTAAAAGCTGTAGTCACATTTCTGTGTTCTCAGTACATAGCCCAGTGCCTGGCACACAAAATAGGAAACACCCGAAATAGCACTGAGCTGCTAGTGGGGTACCGTGCAGTCGCTTCCACGGTGTCTGTCCAACAGGTCAGGCTCTTACCTGCCGTCTTTTATCAGTTCTTCAGCTGACTCGATCAGCTTATTCAGTTTCTTCACTTGCTTATAGTGTGCAAAGCACCTTTTATGATCCTGGTCAAGTTTCAGACACTCACGGACTTCGCTGCTCACATAGTTTAAAAAAAAGAAATACTCCAAGTCAAAATAATCCTTAAATACTTTTCTGCATTAAGTAATCAACATTAACGTATTTTTGTAATAATGAAAACATGCTGACTTTTACTATACACATTTACATATGATATCATATCATAAAAACAACAATTCAAATGGCATGAAGCTACACATTAAACACTGTTTCGGTAAGTAAAACAGCAATGTCACTTTAGTAAGACTAATTCTTGAAAATAAGCTGTAGAATTTATATAATACATTAGTGATAACATAGTTTATTTAAATGGGTATAGATATTTTAAAAAGTCCTATGTATTAACATAATATGAAACTGTCAAAAAACTAGATGAGGCTGTCGCAGGGGCTGACCTGAGGGAGAGCTCGTGGTCCCCGAGGTGATAGTAGAGCGTGCTGATTTTGTAGAACGCCTCCGTGTTGTCATGCTTCAGTTTTGAAGCAGCCTTTAAGTCACTGATGGCTTTCCTAGGTTCTCCTTCCTTTATAAAACATTCAGCTCGAAGTTCGCGTAATTCTGCATCCCAAACACAAACCTTGAGAAACAAAAGAACTAGACTTTAAGAAACATAAAGTGTGTGCTCGATTCTTGCATCCCACACATTCCATCCATACATTCACAAACATAAACACCTCAGTTAATGTGATTAAAGTCGGTATTTTATAAATGGTGTTTAAAACCCTGCTATAATTAAAAGTGGAAAACAGAAGGTGATAACTTCCTGAGGGTGCCTTAAATCCTGAGGGAGGAGAAAATACACAAAAGCGAGTTTTTCTTCCCCAGATTATAGAATTTTTAAACTCTGAATACACAAAAACATAGCACTCGCACACTGAGTTCCAGCCAAGCTCGAAATGCACAAGGAAACCCTTTCTCAAAACCTGAGACAACAAAACCATGGCATTTACTAGTAGAGGGTTATTCCCACTGACACATTGGATGAGAATATTCAGATGTTTATGCAACAATTATAATTTCTATAAGAAAAGAAAGCCGAGGTTCTTTTTCGTAATTCTTGCTTGATTTTGTTTTTTGAGACAGGATATCGTGTATACTAAGCTGGTCTTCAACACCCTATTAGCTCAGGATGGCTTCGAACTCTTGATCCTCTTCCTGCCCTACTTCCTGAGTGTAGCGATTTCGGGTGTTACTGCCGTACAAGGTGTCAAATACAAGACTGTGTGAATGAATGCTGTGCAAAGGCTCACCAACTGAACCTGAAACCTTAGTTCCCAACTAGCAAAATACATACTGCACTGTAAAATACTACATCCTTGCTTCCTTGATATTAAATCCTCATTTTAAAAAAAATAACATGGAAGACTTCACCATTCCTATTTTAGGAAGTCTATCACACTCATTAAACACAGTAGATTCTTCTAAACAGATACCCCAAGTTCACAAAGAGGGCCTGTTTTGTTTTTCTCCGAGTCTCTAACACTGTGTCAATAATGTTTTATATATATATATATATATAAATATAAATAATACTAACGAGCTAGGCCCAAATGGGCAGTTCTAGCAGTAAGAAAGTAAAAATTAGTTTTTTGTTCCCTTAATAAAGTATCAATAAAATAATTTAGTACAGCAAGATTGCATGATTTCCTGTATATAATTATCAAATATGAGCCAGCAAGATATTTTAGTAGGTGAAGATGTTTGCATACAAACCTAGTGACTAAGCCACAGAACCCACAAATAGGAGGGAGAAGCACTGACTCCACAGAATTAGTGTATGGCCTCTGCAGTTGCATCACACACACACCATCACACACACCCACCTTCAAACACACAATCACACACACACCCACCTTCACACACACACACACACACCATCACAGCACACACACACCATCACAGCACACACACACACACACCATCACAGCACACACACACCATCACAGCACACACACCATCACAGCACACACACACCATCACAGCACACACACACCATCACAGCACACACACACCATCACAGCACACACACCATCACAGCACACACACACACACACACACCATCACAGCACACACACCATCACAGCACACACACACACCATCACAGCACACACACACCATCACATACACACACCATCACAGCACACACACACACCATCACAGCACACACACACACCATCACAGCACACACACACCATCACACAACTGCATCACAGCACACACACATCACCATACACACACACTCATAATTTTTAAATTATCAAGTGAATGCCTATTTTCCATAAATCACATATTTCTTGCCAATATTAAACTGTAAGAATGGTAATTATGTTGATTACTTCCATTTAGACTTTCTTCTGAAATCACCTGCCATTAAATCCTCCTGGGCAAGGAGATCCTAACCTAATGCTTCCTATTAGAACCCTCTGTATCCTAGCACTTTCTCTGCTTTCTCTTCTAGAAACTTCTCAATTTAAGTGTTTCTCTTTCTTTCAAAGACCATCTTTCCTTTCTCTTTAAGTAATTCATCTTTTACCCATTGTCTAACATGGTGCGCTCCAAAATTAAAAGGGGGGGGGGGCAAAGGCAAACAGTGGGTGAAAATACATAATTCTCACGGCACAACTTTAATCTCAGCACTTGGCAGGCAGAGTAAGGCAGATCTCAGTGAGTTCAAGACCAGCCTGGTGTACATAGAGAGTTCCAGGTCAGGTAGAGCTACATATAAGACTCTGTTTAAAAAAAACAACAAGAATGTAGTCTCACTTCACAGCACACCAACATGTACTAAGTACCTTCAACTGCAAATCTCCACGACCAGCCCAAGGACCAGCCTGTGTCCTACCCTGGTTTGGGCAGCTTATAAACACGGAGTTTCTCCAGTACGCCTAACTCTAAGAGCAGTGCCGGGCTCCCACTCTGGAGCCGAGACTCACCTCCAGGATCTTATCAAGGAAGGTTATAGCAGCGGAGTAGTCGGCGCTCTCGAAAGCCGCGAGCGCTTGCGAGCGTAAGCGCTGCATTTCATCGGATTTTACGAGCTGAGACTGGGCTTCCTTCTCTTCATTTTCACTGGGGCTAGATTTGAGCTACAAGCAAAACAACAAATAAAGTTTTCCTCTCTTAAATCCAGATCTGAACATTCTAAACACCATGGCGCGGACACCGCCCAGGAGAGCCAGTCCCACCGCCCCCACAGTTCTGACTGACAAAATACAGATTTGGGTTGTTCATTACACAGCTGCAGGCAACAAACAGGGATAGCATGAAGAGAAGTTTTGCCATTCCTCAGTGACAAAGCCATGAATATCTCCATACTGTTCTAAACATTACCGTGTACTATGTTTGTGCTGGGCCTGCATGGCACAGTACAAATGCTGAAGGAGTCCATGCTTTCCTCCAGCATCTGGCCCCGAGGCTGAGCGTGGTCAGGCCCAGAGTCATCTCCTCAGCCTTTCATGGTTACATTACAATAGAGCCTAAATGAGCAAGTTACTTCCCCAAATCCTGAATTCAATGCTTTTCTACATGCTGTGTGCATTTTCTCTGACAACAAGACAGCCACACAAACCTGGGCATGGCAAGCATTCCCAAACGTGACAGTCGGCAGACATTATTAAAAGTCGAGTTCCTTCTCAGCGCTGGTGACTGGACCCAGGGCTTCACTTGCGCTAAGCATGTGCTCCACCCTGAACCCTACTCCTAACCTTTGTGACCACGCTGACAGAAACATAAAATCACAGAGAGGGAGCTGCGTGTAGCCAGGGATGGAATTCCGTCCTTCAAATGTGCCATCCTAGGGTCGGTCCCCAGCTTTGGAAACTGAATATACACAATGAGGACAGGGTACAAAATACAATACATGCTTTCAGGAAAAAATCTGCTTCTCCTTGAATTATACATCGGCCAACTTTAAAATGTGGATATTTTCTATTAAAGTCAGTTACAGCAATTAAAGTATCTAAATTTGACCCGTAATAACATTGTAATTTAGTGGAGTCCCACATGTTTATTTGCATAGTCTGAATTTTTAGGTTATGCATACACCAAATAAAAGGTGACGGACATGCTGGAGAGAAATTATAAACCATATTATCAGATAATACCCAAGTTATATCACTAACTTACAGAACTTAAAAGCAAGAACACCCATAAGTAAACAGGCAAAAAAAAAGTACTTGAAAATGAAGACATCGCAAGCAGAGAGAGAAAACTCAGTTAACACAGCAAGCAAAAAGTGGGGTGTCTGTTGTACACAGAAAAGGAACCCTACAGGCAGAAATGTATTTTAGGAAACAGTATGTAGGTTTTGAAAACGGTTAAAAATACAACTACTATATGACCTAGTAATCTTCTCCCTGGACTGTACACTGTAATGTCCAGGGCAGTGCTATTCACAACAGGCACAGAATCAACTTGCGCAGCCACTACTACTAGCTTAGCCCTGGGATGGCCCCACTGTTGCGTTCATTACCATTTCCCTAAGTCTGAATCCTTCCCAACTGGTATGTATGTACTCCGTCACTACTAATGGAGTTTATTAAATAAATTACCAAAGATTTATACTTGATTTTAAAATGAAATTGCAATTGACTGTTATTTACCAAATATCTAATTTCTACCACAATCAAAATGCAGGTTTTCTTTATATACTGTTGGTAAGAAGGCAATTAGTACAGCCACTGTGGAAAATGGTTCGAAGGTCTCCCAAAGGCTAAAAATGACCTAAATATGATCCTGCTATACTACCTGAGTAGTATTTGAAGGACAAGAGGTCAACACACACAGATACCTGCATGCCCATGTCTGCTGTGACATGCCCAGATAGTCACACAAAAGATGAACAGTTAAAAAACACATGGCATATATTCACACCATTATAAACCAATGGAGTATTACTCAATCACAAGGAAGGAGGCCATGTTATTTGCAGAAAAATTGGATGGAACTAGAGATTACACACTGCGGAGACTGGCTGCCCAGAAGACCCTAAGATCAGCCTCTTTCCACTCCCCCAGCACTGAGTACAGTGCACAATGTCAAGGCCAGCTTTTACAGCAGTGCCAGGTCCTCGTACTTGAACAAGCTCTTCACCCATTTGAACATCTCCTCAGCCCCAAGAGTTCATTCTTGATGTAAAAAGAAACAAGCACATGCCACACATTAGTATACAGTCTGCCTTTCTCTTGAATAAATGGTAAAATGAACTGCTTGAAAATCAATCCCTGAGTCACTGTTAGCAGGTATTTGCTTGTGTGCCTATCTCATATACATGTATAACCCAGGAGCATGTTTCAGAGGACATGTCTAGATTCTCATGCAGTTAAAGTAAGCAGCCTATATCTGAATCAGGACTTATGTAGCAATTGCGTGCATTTTATCTTCCGACTGTTGTAGCACGGATCCTAGTTGGTCTTAATTAATCAAAACCCAGAGTCAGATATGGGGGTTAAAGCTGAAGATCAGAGAACAGAGCAGTAAGCCACTAGAGAGATCTTATACCTTTGCCAATGCTCAGACCACAGGGGCAATCCTGTCCTCACACTGCCTAGACTGCACTGTGCCTCTAGCAAACCTCAGAGTGCACTGAGCTCTTGCCTCCTCCTCCTCCTTCTATTCCTCTCTCCACCCAGCCATATTCCTCCTGTCTCCATCTCCCCAGTGCTAGGATTAAAGACATGGGGTCCCAAGTACTGGGACCACTGATGTGTGAGCTCTTTTTCTCTTAGACAGATTCAATCTCATATAGCCCAGGGTGGCCTTGAGTCCTGGGTTTAAAGGTGTGTGCCACCACTCCCTGGCCTCTAGTGGCTTAGCTCTGCACTCTGATCTTCAGGCAAGCTTTGTTTGCTAAAACACAAATAAAATATCTCTATACAGTGTTAATATATTCTTTGATGCCAGCTACTAAATATTTATTTAAGAACTATGGGCCGGGCGGTGGTGGTGCACGCCTCTAATCCCAGCACTCAGGAGGCAAAAGCAGGCAGATCTCTGGGAGTTCGAGGCCAGCCTGGTCTAAATGAGCTAGTTCTGGGACAGGCACCAAAGCTACAGAGATACCTTGTCTCAAAAAAAAAAAAAAAAAAAAAAAACCTACTATGATTCCTGTGTGTGTGTGTGTGTGTGTGTGTGTGTGTGTTAGCCATAAAACTAATATAAAGTAGCTTATTACAAAGGAAAATCAATTCTGTACATTGCCCAGTAACCCCTTTGGGCCAGGCACTTACCACTTTCTTAAAATCCTCTTCTGCTTCATCGAGCTTTCCTTGTTTGAGCAGTAAGTGGCCTCTCTGTAACCTCGCCTAGGGGAAGAAGGAGGACTGTGTGAGCACTATGGATGTCTAAATTTGCTTTTAAATAGAAAGGACAAAACTACAAGTTGTAATCAAGTTACTAATATTCATTTCTTCAGTGTTTGTTTGACTCAGCACGGAGACTAATTCCTATAGCTTCAGAATGTGTACAATTTTTATTAAAATATTTTTCTCTAAAAATATGTTTTGTTGGGGCTGGAGAAATGGCTCAGTGGTTAAGGGCACTGACTGCTCTTCCAGAGGACCCGGGTTCAATTCCCAGCACCCACATGGCAGCTCACAACTGTCTGAAGATCCAGTTGCAGGGGATCTGACACCTTCACACCAATGCACATAAAATAAAGTTAAATAAACCATAAAAAAAAAATATTAATAAAAAAAAAAAAATATGTTTTGTTCAACCCAAAGAAATCATAATCAAAGGGTTTTTTCAGGAGGGGGGGCTCTTTTGCTTGTTTAAGATATAAGGTTTCTTTTGAGAATGACAAGGATGTCCTGGAACTAGACAATGGTACTGACTGTAGCAGCTAAAAACTAAGAACTACTCAACTCTTCAACATGAATTATATCCATATTTTGAAATGATGCTGGGTACAGACACAGGGACCCTAAAGATAAATGGTACAGGGTTCTACCTTCAGGCAACATTCCAGGCCCTGTATATTAATTTTAAAAAATACTTTTTGACATCATACTAACTCTTTCCACTAAAAGTTGCAGTGGGACTGTCAAAGCTCCAGAAGTAGGTTTTCTTTTCATTAGCCCTTCAAGGTAAATATTTACTATAAACAGAATACTGTCTCCCTCCTTCATGTCTGACTGTCCTCTTCCAATACATATGGTCCTAGCTCTTCAACTCACACCTCTCTGAGGACGATATAACCACACAGACAACCCAAAGTTATATATTACTTTTACAGAACATAAAATTTCCCTATTCCTCTATTAGCTACATCCACACAAAAAAAGGACAACTAAGGCCATTTCGGCCAGCTGATAACTAACCACAATGCTAAGAAAGTGGGTTCCACAGCCTTGTGAGAGGCTGTGCTCCACTGTCAAGTCATGAAGTCAACAAAAATACGACAGCTGGAAATCCCACCTTAAAATAATAATATAGCAATATTTCACATCAAACACGTACTACATAGTCAGCTCAAATCCTTTTAGGAATATAGCAAATTACAAATAATGGTGACAAAATTAATTGATTGATTAATTAATATGCACAGCCCACATATGTATTCCACTGATGAGAGTCTCATAGTGAAATAGTTCACGTGTTAACTGTGTGATCCTCAGCAGGGGTTGTCACTTTAGGAAGTGGGGCCTACCTAAAAGAAGCAGGGTACAGGGGGTGCATCCTTGGGTTGGGGGCCATAGCCTATCCTGGCTAAAGTGTATTCTCCTCTGCTTCCTGTTTGCCATGAACTAAGTGACTTCCTCTTCCATGTGCCCCACTGCTGTGGCGGCCCCGTTCATCACAGGCCCCCAATCAAGGAGCGTGCACTGCATCCTGAAGGTTCTGAAACCACAAGTTAAAACCAATCTCTCTTGTTTATCTTAGCTGTGTTGTCGCATTGATCAAACTAAAGGAATGCCCATACAGCCTATGACAGCCCTAAAATGATGTGCCTGACATCAGGACTTTACAGTAAGCTACTCTACCTCCGCAGCTTATGCACTGACTCTGGGGAGAACCATACTAACATGCTTGGGATCCACAAAAACACCCCTTAAATGGACCCCCTCCTCATGCTCCCCCTCATGCGTAAACGTCATTTCAGCACCGGGTCTCTCACTCGTCCCTACATTCAACCTCCAAACTGAGCTGATACTGTCAGGCTTCTGAAGGGAAACAAATCACCTAGTAAACCCTGCCATTCTCCATACACACCTCTTTTGGTTTTCTTGAGACAGGACACACTCTACCTAGCCCTGACTGTCCTGGAACTATCCTTGAACTCAGACATACACATGCCTCTGTCTCCCACAGCCTCTGCCTACCATAGGCTGGGTTAAGCAGCAAGCACACCCAGCCTCCATACAGACTGTTAATTCCGAGAACTTTGCTGTTACTGCTATAGTACTCAAGCAGACCTCAAGACCCCTGGGCTCCAGGGGTTCTCTTGCCTTCATCTCCCGTCTGGAACTACAGTTGTGTGCCACTATGAGGAACAAGTGTAGGAAGTTTGATCTCATTTTCCTCTCCACACGACAGCTCTGGAATGCTCTCGCAATGCCTATGGTGCCAATACTCCCTGCAGGAGACAGATGACCTCTTCCCGTTTCCCTTAACAAGTTCAGGTGCACTTACTGCAGTGAAATCCATCTTCAGTTCAATCACTTTAGTTAAGTCAGGCAGTGCTGCTTTGGATTTTCCCATCGCTAAGAAGACAGTAGCTCTCCGATAGTATGCTATATAGTTATCAGGGTCACCATCTGAAAATTAAAGTAGTGTTAGCTTTCTGTAATCCACCTGAGAAGATCACAGCTTACAATCTTATTAAATATGGCAATAGACATGGCAGTGGACAACTTCAATCTCGGCACTTGGGAGGCAGGGGCAGGCGAGTCTAAGGACAGGCTCGTCAATACAGTAAATTCAAGTCAAGCCAGGGCTACACAGACTCTCTGTGAAGACAATAATAAATACAAGAATGGCATTAAAACTCAGAGTGTGGGACACAGCCGAGTGGCACTGTGCTTAGGTCAGTGCAGCACATGGCGTTCCTGAAGGGAGGGACCCAGAGAGAACACAGCTCCAGCCTTCCCTTTGGCATGGCCTATGCACCTCCTCTCTTTGGTTATGTATCTGTACCCTCTGAAAGATCCTCTGTCCTAAACCAGAGAAGTGGCTTAGAGCCGTTCCAGCAAGCTAACTCCATGGGACCCTTGGTTTATACTTGGTAGATCTGAGGTTTCAGACTGGCATCTAAAGTGGGCAGCAGTTTTGCTCAAAACCTATGAGTTTTTAAGCTGCTACATGAAGCAGAGTTTCTTAAAAAACAGTGACTATGGTAGGCTGGGAGGTTCAGCAAGTAAGCCACTGCCACACAGACATGGCCCCCCAAGGCCTGTCACATGACCACACAGACATGGCCCCCCAAGGCCTGTCACATGACCACACAGACATGGGGCCCCCCAAGGCCTGTCACATGACCACACAGACATGGCCCCCCAAGGCCTGTCACATGACCACACAGACATGGCCCCCCGAAGGCCTGTCACATGACCACACAGACATGGCCCCCCAAGGCCTGTCACATGACCACACAGACATGGGGCCCCCCAAGGCCTGTCACATGACCACACAGACATGGGGCCCCCCAAGGCCTGTCACATGACCACACAGACATGGGGCCCCCCAAGGCCTGTCACATGACCACACAGACATGGGGCCCCCCAAGGCCTGTCACATGACCACACAGACATGGCCCCCCAAGGCCTGTCACATGACCACACAGACATGGGGCCCCCCAAGGCCTGTCACATGACCACACAGACATGGGGCCCCCCAAGGCCTGTCACATGACCACACAGACATGGGGCCCCCCAAGGCCTGTCACATGACCACACAGACATGGGCCCCCAAGGCCTGTCACATGACCACACAGACATGGGGCCCCCCCAAGGCCTGTCACATGACCACACAGACATGGGGCCCCCCAAGGCCTGTCACATGACCACACAGACATGGCCCCCCAAGGCCTGTCACATGACCACACACATACCACCCCCCCAAGGCCTGTCACATGACCACACAGACATGGGGCCCCCCAAGGCCTGTCACATGACCACACAGACATGGCCCCCCAAGGCCTGTCACATGACCACACAGATACCACCCCCCCAAGGCCTGTCACATGACCACACAGACATGGGGCCCCCCCGAAGGCCTGTCACATGACCACACAGACATGGCCCCCCAAGGCCTGTCACATGACCACACAGATACCACCCCCCCAAGGCCTGTCACATGACCACACAGACATGGGGCCCCCCGAAGGCCTGTCACATGACCACACAGACATGGCCCCCCAAGGCCTGTCACATGACCACACAGATACCACCCCCCCAAGGCCTGTCACATGACCACACACTGTACTTTGTTGAAAATAAACTACCCGACTTGTCAAGATGACTAACCACTCTGCACAAATCCAAGTGAGAAATGAATAAAAGGGTACCTAAGAAAAGTCAATGTCAAAAGACCTAGGTTAAAACCTAGGCAGAAACGTCTTGGAAGGTGCTTTAAGCTGGGCAAGGCTGCAGACCACATTTAATTCCAGCCTTCAGAGGGCAGAGGCAGGAACAGCTCTGTGAGCTCAAGGCCACGTCGTGACTGAGTGAGCACTAAGCTAACAAAGACTGCAAACTGAGATTCCATCTCAGAGAGAGAACGAGAATGCGGCACTGGTCCTCGGGAGCCATGTACTCTATCATCTCTTTCGTAGACAGCACAATGACAGTTGATGCTACAACTCATCTGAAAGAAACATCACAAGGGCAGCTGGAATCTGACCAACAGTGAAGAGCCAATGAACTAGAAAATCTCCAATCTGGAAAAACCAAAGCAATGACTGTATTCATCACCTAGCCAAAGAAGAGAATAGCACACTATGTGAGGTCTGCTTAGACAAAGATTTCGTAAGAATCTCGCTTTTCATTAAATGTTGATGAAACATAATGGCAACTTTTATTATGAATACACTGAATCCTATTCCGGTCAACAGACTCGCTCCTGTTACTTCCCACTCCTGCTGTCTCTTTCCTCTCCCCACAGCCCCTCTGCTATTTTCATGCCCTTCTGCCTCTGATGTTCTTTCTGCCATCTTCCTTACGTTCTGAGCTCTGAGGGGCTGGATAAACAGTTCCACTTAGAGCTGAGCATTCAATGGTTCCTGACTCTCCACAAGGTCTGGAATTACTACTGCCCACTGCAGAATGGAGTTTTTCAGAATGACAAAACCTTGAGTTATTCTTAATGCATACATGGCTAAGCCTCAGTGAGCTCTGTGTTTCATAGATTTGTTTCTAAAGAGTATGTATGCACATGTGCGTTTGTGTGTGCATGTGTGTGTCTATGTGGAGGTATGTGCATATGAGGACAGGTGCTTGAGCCCAGATGCATCAGAAGTTCCAGTCAGCAGAAAGAGGCTGGGAAGCAACCTTAGGCCTGTGGAGACGCAGTGCACGCTCTTCCACAGAGCCTTCCCTCCAGCCTACTCATACCCCTTCCGTTAGATGCACGTGCGCTCATGTATTCTGTGTTTACTAATCTAATTCACCCAGAATCCTGAAAATATGTTTAATGGTTTATTTTACATGTAATAATGCTTTAAGTGTTATCCAAAATGGAAGCTCTGACTATCAATCCGAAGAGAGCAACTGAGCGTTTGGGGTATGATACCAACCTACTGCGGCATGAAACTGAGACAAAGCATCAGCTAGCTGTCCAGCTGCAAGTAACTTCTTTCCCAGTTCAAGATGTTTCTCTACATCTGCATTTACTCCACATTCAGCACCTAAAAAGGAAAACAGAATAATGAGTTAACTTCCCATGAAGCAACTGTAACCCTAATAAATAGTCAAAGATAACATTAATCTGCTTCAGCCATATGAAAATGACACAGTGAAGCACACTGTTTCATTTTATTTGCTTAGGTAATATGTTTCATTTTATAGAATATAAAAAGCTCCCAAATATACCTATATTCCATTAAACCAACCCAAGGAATAAATCCAGCTGAAAGAATAAAAGAAAACTAGATTAGAGTACTGGTGACATTATTCTGCTCAATTAAAGCTGGGAAGCTGGCTCAGTTGATGAGATGCGTGCTATGTAAGCATGAGGACCAGACATGGATCTCCAGCAACCACAAAAACGCCAGCAGGACGCAGCAGCCCATGCACAAGCAGGAGATCCTCAGTGCAGATGGCCAGCTAGCACACCACACGGAAGACTAGATTCAGGGAGACTCAGCCTCAGGAAATAAAATCTGAAGAAGCATGGTTAAGGAAGAGACCGGATACTAACTCAGCTTCCACATGAACACAGACACACACCACACAGTCTAAGAACGGCTTTGCTAAGCTAGACCCTCATCTTCATGAAGATCCAAGGACACCGAGCAATGACAACACACCAGGCACTGGGCTAAGGGAGCCCTGCTCTTTGAACCCTCTAAGTGCCCGACATTACGGTGGGAGGACACAGACATAACGAACAATAGCTTGTATAATCAGGTAAAAAATTACTGTGGAGTAAGTCAAGTGTCAACGGCGAGAAACAAACGGAAATGGTCCAAGAGCATGCTTCCTTGAAAAGCCAACATCCGAGCAACTTAAGAGGAAGTAAGAAGCCCATCATGCAGGCAGGAAAAGGAGACTTTCCAAGTAGTAGCAGCTAACGCAAAGACTTTAAGTTCATGGTACCCAGATACGTTCCAAAAACGGCAAGGAGACCTGGATAACTGTAGCAGAGCCACAAAATAAAGCGGTATGAAACCAAAGACTAAAAGCCTTGTTATGTCCTGCTTTGAATTTTACTCCATGAAGACCAGAGACATTTTAAGTAGAATATGACTAAGTAGGCCAATTATCTATAAACTGTCTCTTTGCTCTGAATTCCTCCTTCAGCAGTTACCCTGACACAATAATGCACCAGAGAGTTCAGGCCTTCCTCCTTCACAGTAAAGTCAATGTAGTTTGCTACAAAGGAGCTAGAGAGAACTGTAGGAAGGACGGGTGCCTCCTGGTTCTGTTTGCTGGTGTGCTCTTTTGTTTTTCTGGCTTCTGCTACCTACTGGAGAAAAGATGGTTACCAAGAAGCTACACTTGACTCTGTTCTTATCTGTCTAGAATCTTCTTTTTTTAAAGTTTCCTCAGGCTTTATGTGAAAATTCTTATCAAACGTCTGGGTGTTATTTGTAGAGGGAAGTTTCTGTCCCCCTGGTCCCACAGCTGTTCAGTCCCAAAGAAACACAGAGGCCTATATTAATTACAAAGGGTTTGGCCTACTAGCCCAGGCTTATTATTAACTAGCTCTTACAACTTAAATTAACCCATAATTCTTATTTGTTTGGCCACATGGCTTGATACCTTTTCTCAATGAGACAGTCTCATCTTGCTTCCTCTGTGTATTGCTGATGACTGACTCTGCCTTTCCTCTTCCCAGAATTCTCTTAGTCTTTTCACCCTGCCTGTACTTCCTGCCTGGCTACTGGACAATCAGCATTTTATTAAACTAATAAAAGTGACAAATCTTTACAGTGTACAGGAGCATTCTCACACAGCAACCTCCCAACAATGACACTGCACAGTCACACTGTAACTTCACAATTGTCCACATATCCACACAGAAAAGTATCGACACTGGTATGATTGCTTTCTGTTCTCCATCAACTGCAGTCAACTCTGGTTTCAGGGTCTCACTGTTAGCAAACCTGAGCTGCAACCACAGCTCAACAAAGTGTGAACCCCAGTTCTGAGGAGAGAGCCTCTTCCCCAGGGAGTGAACAAAGTGTGAACCCCAGTTCTGAGGAGAGAGCCTCTTCCCCAGGGAGTGAACAAAATGTGAACCCCAGTTCTGAGGAGAGAGCCTCTTCCCCAGGCAGCCTCTCTCAATCCTGGACGAGTCTCACTGTTCTTCCCACATCTTTAGTTACTGTTGCACTGTATAAAAAGGGAAGACTCTACCTAGCTCACCCTTTACAAACTCTTTTGGTGTGGTGTGAAAACGTATTTGTACCATTGTGGGGGGTCAGGTCGACATCAAGTATCCTCCTCACTTACTCTCCACCTTTTTTTTTTTTAAGACAGGGTCTCTTATTGAACCTGAAGCCTGGCAACCTGGCTAGTGTGCCAACCCCAGTGACCCACCAGTCTATGCACCCCCAGTGTGGAGATTGTAAGTACACATCATCCTGCCCTACTTTTCTTTTCACATCTGGATGCTAGGTACTAAACTCAGGTCCTCAAACTTCTACATCAAGCACTAGAGCAACTGAGTCATGCCTGCAGTGGCCCCTTTAGAACTACTATGTGTTTTGTTTCCTGAATGGCCCAAACTGTTACACTGGCCCTGGAAACAGTCCGGGACAAAGACCCACCAAAAGGTGCTCGGAGGTGTTTGCTCGAACCCTGACCCCAAGACAGAGGGAAGTGACATGCTAGTGATCCACTCAAGCCCTACAGCTGGTTCAGCTACACTCTGGTGACTCTGACAGCCTAATAAGACCCTCTTAGATGGCCAAGTGTCTCCTATGCTTGGCCATAACGGCACAAAGGGTGACTGGGACTGTGATAAGGGATGGGGTCTTTGCAGTGCAAGAAGTGTTCTGAGAAGAATGTCAAGCTCAGGGTTAATTCTAGGCTGAAGTCAACCTGGGAGATTCCATAACTATATATATATGTACACACACACACACACACACACACACACACATATATATATATATATATATAGAGAGAGAGAGAGAGAGAATATATAATTAGTCCATAACAATAATCACCTGCCCCTGCCTCAGTCACAATGCTGGTCTAGCTAAAATCAGCCAGAAAATTGTAAGACTTGCAAAACTAAAATTACAGTTAAATTCACTGTCTCATCAAGCCTCACCAGGTTTCTCCTGGCACAGATTAATAAATAACTGGACCCTAGTATTTGTAGTGGGAACACAGGTTTGAATGCAGTTAAAATTGATTCTTCTCAACTTTTTTTTTTTGGGGGGGGGGGGTGTCAAGACAGGGTTTCACTGTGTAGCCTTGGCTGTCCTGGAACTCACTCTGTATACCATGCTGGCCTCAAACTCACAGAGATCCGCCTGGGATCCGAGTGCTGGGATCAAAGGCATGCACCACCACACAGCTCTTCTCAACCTCTTACTTGAAACAGCTTCCCCTTCCTGTTCTAAGGAAGCTCTGTTTGTACTGTTTAAAAACAACAAAGCTTTCTCCCCTAGTTCTCTGGAGTATATACGCAAAAGTGCGAAAAGTACAGGGAATCTTCTCAATTTATGGAAACTTAGCTACTTATATAGGTTCAATAACAATATCTCTTATAGGAATAGATCATCTGTAAGCGTTGACTATATTCAGGAACAATGTGATTAGAGATCTAATTTGAAGGTGATGCACACAGCTATAGCAGACACGATGACAAAGAAAAGAAAAAGGCAGATGTCATGTAGTGAGCACAACCCGGGCTGGGAGGCGCAGAGGTGGCACACGGTAACGGAGGTGGCACTTCATCTACACAGCTGCCGAACACATACGTGAGTAAGGAATTTCATATTCCAGCAAGCACAGGGAACCTTAGTTAGTGGACTTTGAGAAACATCATTCAAATGCACTCTCTGAATTGAACCAGGGATAGACTCCAGGTACTTCTGAGTCCACCAAACTCTGATAAAACAAACAAAAAGGACCAGAGCCAGGCAGATTGGTAATGGGGACTTCTGAAACACAAAGAAGTTCATAAAATAATGTTTTTCTTTTTTTGAGACATGGTTTCTCTGTGTACCCTTGGCAATCCAGGAGAACTCACTCTGTAGAACAGGCTGGTCTTCTTGAACTCACAGAGCTATCCTCCTGCCTCTGCCTGCCTCTGCCTGTTGAGTGCTACCACCGCCCAGCTCATAGGGCCAGTTCTTAAACAGCCTAACACTAAGAACGAAAATAAACAAAATTAGTAGCACAAATATTTTAAAAATTGTTTAAAATAAATATAATTAATAATCTTACAGATTCAAAAGGTTGCAAGATCTATTTAAATTCAGCTCTAGCAGCAAGGACACAATGGAGAACAAAAAATAAACAAGATGATTTCCTAAGTGCCAATCTGATGCTAGGAGACAAAATGCCCGAGGAAAGGAGTAATCACTACAGACAGTCAAGCAGGCTCCCTGGGTCAATAAGCTTGAGTTAAAACAAAAATAAGAAGGCTGGAGAGCAGTGCTGAATGACACAGGCCAAAATCACACCCAGGTCACAAGCCAGTGCAACCAGCCTGGCATGAGCAAGCCCAACTCCAAGGAAACTAGACGAGGTCACAGACAGCAGTAAAGGAGGGAAGGACAGAGAGCATGTACAAGATCGATGGAAATGCAAGGTACAGAGAGAAGCTTAGGTTTTTATGTGAGTGATAAGGAAAGTCCTAGAATGGGCTCTAGCAAGAGACTGAAGGTCTAGCTGAAGTTTGTAAGAGCTTATGTTGGCTGAGTGTGAAGATAGAGTGGAGTCAGCTATGAATCAGAACTGTGGTTCCATGAACTAAGAACAGTGTTAGATACACTATACAGACTGGCTTCATTTGATCACTTTTTCCAGCAAAGTATATTCATATACTATTTATATTTTTTAAATCATCAAAGTAAACTAAGGAATATGTTTTGTTTAAAATGATGACTAATTGTAAATCTTTGATGAGATGGCTCACCTGAGAAAAAGGCACTAGCCACAAACCGGCTACCCAAGTTTGATCCCTGCAAAAAACAACTGATTCCCAAAAGCTGTCCTCTGAAGG